GCAGTCATATCTGCCACGCTCGTAACATTATTCCGAGCATTCTCCAGCAGGGTAGCCACACGCAACCTCAATACTTCATTCTCTTCTTGGAGACGTTTCATTTTTAGTGCATCCTCCTCGAAGCTGGACAGAATGGGCTGCGGCATGCACTGCAGAACATAGGACACCCCTAAATCTGGCAGTCCACAGGATTAATTTAACGGTCTGCTCATTTTTGCAGAGATGGAAAAGTTACTGTAGTACGTCTAATGACTGTTTTTATTACATTTTAGCAATTAAATACTGAATGGAACAGGACATGGAAGTAGCCAATCAGCGATTTTACCTCCCCTCACAAAATTCCCTCATTCTCCACTTACTGTATCATTCTTAATCTGAGTATTTTCTTGAGCATTTTGTTTTCAAATACTTGTAATTGACGTTCTTCCACAAAAGCTAGAGACTGTATTTCACATGCATACAAAACAACTGGCAGAATTATTCTGTACTATCAGATCTTATCAAGCAAATGGGATGATAACTTTAGAGCTTCTGAACCAAAAAACAACTTCCTGCAAGTCGTCACCATGTGATTTCACCATAAATCTTACTTTCATCTGTATTTTCCTGGAAGGACTGAGGAAAACCACAAAAAAACCCAGTCAGGATAGCTGGTCTCCAGACCAAGAGTTGAACCCGGGACCTCCTGAATAAGAAGCAGGAGTGTTAGCCACTCGACCACGACGTTCAGACCCAGATATTTAACTTTTAAAATGAATAGGAAGGGGCTAAGAACAGGTTCTTGCTACTGCTAGTTTCAACAGTCCACTGATATTAAGCTGAAGTCAGACTCAACGCAGATATCGGTCCATGACATGGTAAAACATTTGTTGTTCTGCCTACATATGCTTACATACCAAATTCCGTTGCTAGTCTATGAAAGAATGACATATATATTTTCACCTAGTGCATTGAAGACATAAATTTACATGTGTAAGCAATTAAGATTCTAAAAAACAATTGTTCAGAATCCTGATAAGAATTACCTGGAAAATGGTAGCCAAGAAATTGTGCAAAGAAACCAAGAGAGTATCCTGCCAATGACGTGTAAAATAAACTTGGAAAACTGGATTTTCTTCTGGATTCTTTACCCATGGCAGCACTGTAACACAAAATCCAGTTCAATATCAACACTCCATTCTAAATTAAATGCACCAGAATTATTCCACTGTTCTACGCACATGTATAATTACGGAAACTTACTGAACCATTCCCTCCATTCTGGTTGACCAATTAGATCCGGTGTATATCTGGTAAAGAATTCTGTCACCTTATGTTGTTTTCCACTGACCACAGCATTTACCAGATAAAACTTGAAAACGGCATATTCAAGTTTGCGAACAGCTGTCACACAACACAGAAATGTAATAATCAAGGAAAGAATAACTCTGTTCTTCAGTGTGGCAATGATATTTTATCACTGAAAAATGTGTGTAGAATGAAAACAAGAAAAACCAATAACATATACCTGGAGCAAAACTGTGTTCCAACTTAGAAAACATTCTCTGATCCAAATGGGTCCACAGTTCTTTCAAAGAACCAAGATCATAAGCATAAATGAACTGCAGTAATTGGTCAACTATTTTATCCACCTGAAGAAAAAAAAACGAATGAGAGTCCACTAGCAGAATAAACATATAAATAAACTTACAATACGACTGCCACGAATACACGCACTTAAATTTCGGTTCTGTGTCTGTTACTAGACCAAACACATCTATCTAAACTTTCTAATCTTCCTAACCCATGGATTTTGTAAAGTTGTAATCACTTAATAAAAAAAACCCTGCAAGTTATACAGCGCGTCACCGAAATTTAAAACTGGAACTGTAACATATGCACATTTCCAACCATAAATATATCTCATATGTTACAATACTGTAATTACTTACTCTAAAACTTTTGTCTTTATCAACTTTTAGTTCCGTGTCCAAAGCTTTTACAGTTCCACTAAATCCTCTGTACAGTAAATACTCTCTAATTAACTCGTCTAAATATTGAACATGCGACATTTTAAACAATACTGATCCTGAATATTATATAAAACAGCCCGACATTCAAAGCTAAAGGTGCAATTCTCCACCTCACCACACGAAACACTACAACGTCACTGACATCTGTGGTCGTTCGCCAAACAGTCTTCATCTATCTGAATCATAGACTAATACCAACATCAAAGTATCATATTATATGATAATATTAACTGTGATGTTAAATAGAACAAGGCAGAGAATTTTTCCTCTAAACTCTCCGTCCAGATCGGCTCCGGGGCCTCCTGCCCTATGGGTATTCGGGTCCTTTCTCGTGGGTAGTGTGGCCGGGGCGTGCCGAGGTTAAGAAAAATGACTACCTCCCCCAAGTACCTATATGGAGTATAACGGACTGTACTTTTTTAACAATATAATAATACCGACACTAACAGTGTGCGCCTACACCACGGATTACGCGAGTATCAACATACAGTTTTAATTTTATAACCCACTGGAAAGCATCTGAAAGAGGGCAAAACAGTAGGACTGCAGACCATCTGACAAACATGTGGCGAGAATCTGTCAGCTGTACCAACTTCAACACCCTGAGTCATGGTGCGTCGTGTTTTGATTCCATTGGCACCTAAATATTCTAACAACTCAAAATATGTATTAAAAGTTGCTTTTACAATGACCATTCCAAAGCCACACCAAAAAATGTGATTCGGGAGTTGGATGTATGTACTCCAACATGGTGTTAGGTCACATGAGCACTGATGTCACCTCAAATCCCACCCTGAGCATTTTCCAATTTCCAGGATCCCAATTTGAAGACACAGACAAAATATAAAAAGATTAACCATTCACAATTGCTTCTGAGAAATGATCTAATCAAGGAAATAAAATGCTCTGGAAGAAAGTTGTTAAGCGTAATCAGATCCATACAAACCAGCCTACACTTACCCTTATTTTCATCATGTTCCTCACAATTTGTTAATTATTCTTTCTTCTTAGCTTACACTTTTTACCAACAGCAGTTCATTGTATGAAATCACAAATAATTAAAGTTTGCAGGTTTTATGTGATGCAATGGCTTGGGCTGCCACACCTTTGGAAGTTAATCATTGTCGCGCAGTTCAGTTACATCTCATCTGTAAATGCAGAACAGATCACACCAATAACCAACTACAATTAAAAATACAGTGGTAAACATAAAAGAAGACATGAAGAATAATGAAAGCAAATGTAGCAGAAATTGAAATTTCAGTCTTCTGGATTATGATGCTGTGTAGTCTTGTATTTCAAAGGAACTTATCACCCCCATCTTCAGGGTAGGCTGAGGCAGTAAGTTATTCCAACATGCTGGTAATTATCTACAAAACTACCTGGGCATCAACCTAGAAGACCACAATTGACATGGTGGAGGTAGAAGAATATTATGGAGCAAAAGGTGAAATGTGACTATCGTGCAGGGACGGAGAGATGATACTAATCATTTTTTTTGTTTGTCAATTAACCTAGAATTACTTAAAATTAGGAAGTTATGTTAAATAAAAAATATATATTTATTTCATCTACTGCCATTTCTGTACTTCATGAAAAAAGGTGTAAATACAGCGATCTGTTGCATATTGTCACAAGAAATGTGCTGTATTTGTTTAAATGCTAGTACGAAGATTCAGGTAATGTGCTAGATTAGTCACTAAAATTAATTCAGCTTTTTACAACTGTGTCGATGACAAAGCCATAAGATGCTGCAAAATCATTCTAGGTAAGTACTTTGCAACTAGGTGTGCAATTCTCTTCCGGGTGCTTGCTTGAAAAAGTTCTAACAGTCACACTGAATTACTTTGTTTAATATTACACACAAATGTTTACTGCATTGTACAACAACAAATTTTAATTCCCATAACTCAGATATGTACATACATATTTACACATGTTGTTGTCTACAACCACACATACTTCCACATGTACACACACAAGAAGTAAGCAGTAGTCCACTCTGGCATCAGTCAGAACACTGTATTACCTTTCATGCTTCCGATTCATAATTATCATCATCATAAACCAGTTTCTACATTAAAAGCCATTTTTAACTTTTATACATAGGCAACATTAAAAACACACATGACATAATTTGATATTCTTGAAAACTTTACACATTCAGTCACATTTAAACTTCCTACTTAAAAAACTCAATCATCTAATATGGTACATTCATGCCTGATTACGCGTACAGCTCCCATACTTAACGAACCACGTGAATAACAAAACCTCCCAAATATGCAACAAAATCTTTCTACAATTATAAGCTTATTATTTATCTGTACAAATTTTATACTGGAATTTATTGTACACTTCTCAATACTTCTGCTTCCTATAATATATCTGCATGATTTATTGTCTTTATCTGCCATTCTACACAACTTGAATAAAAACTATTACTTCACAACTGACAGAAATGAGTGAAGTAACACACTTCTAACCCTCAGTTACTTATCTTTGTGTAGATTCTGTATTTGTGCAGTATAATTTACACATTCAACTATCTGTCTTTATACAATGTTATTAAAAATTCAAATATTTATGACTCTACAAATATTGGCAGAGGATGACAGCTGCACTAGTTTCACTAAGGACAGAACATAAATCAATCACTTATCATTCAGCTACGAATTAACTTCAAAATTATAAAATATATGTGTCATTGTTTAATTTAGGGTAATCATTATCAGCACAATCTGTGGTTTATATTCCTATTGGTCAAGGTTTCCATTTCTGGTCTACATCTGGCCTGACAGGATTAAGAGTGTACGTTATTCTTGAGCTGCTGGCTGCTGTGGGCAGACCCTACACAAATACTATTACTTAGATAGCAGAACCTTGCTCAGTACTCAGAGTCCATAAATACTTCATATTAAATAGCAGTATTATAGCCTCTTATTTTTGGCATGTCACCTCACTTATCCTGTCTGTTTTTAATTGCTCAACAAAGGGTAGTTGTTCTTTCAAATTTTAAATTCTGTTCATTCATTAACTGGATGCTTTGTATGTAAAACCTGTGAATAATAAACATCCAACAGACACCATAACAATGTTTATAGCAGGGATTCTCAGCCTGTGGTCTGCCAGTGGGTTTGGTGCAGCCCATATATATTATTGTAATATTGTGCCACATTGTATTATTATTGGAAAACACTTATTAATTTAGGAACACATGAAGAACGTCAAACCAAGAACGACGACATCTTACTGATGAACGCCTAGAGGGAGGCATGTAAATCACAACAGAAATAAACCTGATACTGAAAGATTACTGAAGCAAAATCTGTGTCAAATATCTCATTAGTGGCTGACTCTGTTAAATAAAATACTGAGTCATATGTTACACTGTTTTCAATGGTAGAATTTTTTAAATTGCCATGAAGTTTCAGTACATTGTCCTCACGTATAACCCAGCGGCACAGAAGCTGATAATAAAGACTGACTGTAGCTTCACATCTTGAGAGGCTGAGAATGCCTGGTCTATAACAATAATAATAGTGAAATTAATTTTGTGTAAGAAATTATAGCACTCATAGACAGGTGTATGATATGTCATTGCCTGCTTTCAAATGCTTGTAAACTACAAATGCAACTGGAATTGTCAAACTGCAATGGTGGTGAAAGGCTGAAACAGAGTTTATGCAACACTAGGTGCACAGACAATAAATACATGTCACCAAGAGTTAGTGACAAGCAGAATCAAGACAACTGTCAGCCTTACAGACTCCTCAGAACATTGCAACGATTAAGATATGTTAGAAGAAGTCTCACAAAGTTAGTTTGTTCCCAGGAGGTGGATCAGAAGATGGTGGCATCCATGAAAGACCTTCCTGTACCCTTCGGTCTTCTTCCTTTAAGAAAACATAAAGGAAAAAGTTTATCATACATAACCAAAAAACTTGTTTGAACTGGAAAAAAAGAGTAACCAGTGCTGTAAAAACAAATCTTTAAAACATGCTGCTAGAATTAGTGGTAAATATACCAGTTTGATTTAGAAGGTCTGTTGAAAATGTGGGAGTGTGTGTTGACACTTTAAGTCACTGGCATAAGACTTTGCTGAATTATCTGTCATTGCTAGTTTGTTTCATTCAGTCAGGCAAAGAATTAAATGGTTTATAAGCATCTGATAAGAAGTATTCACTTATCATACACCCAATATTAAGAAGAAGGCTTTTCAAAATTTTTAAAATTATGATGCCTGGTAACCACTACATTTGGCAGGATTACTTCATAACTTTATCTTCAATTTCCAATCATTCTTGCTATTTAATATATATCTTTCGAACAAACCAATCTGTGAGTCAAATTACAAGGAGAATCCAGATACTCTGAAGTGGCATGATAATTATACAAATATAAGTTGAAATGTAAAAAATAAAACTGAAGAAAGCAGCAGACTGGCCTTAGAAGGGACAGCTGACAGATTTTCAACAGTGAGTAACCCTTGTTCTAAGAAAACAGCTGCAACTAATGAGTTTTCAACAAGTGAGATGGTCACAAAAGTAAAAATAAACTCCATGGAGTAGAATCTTTTTTGAGAAGCTGAAAATCACTCAGCTATCCAATTCCATTTTATATGTTTTCAAGATATTTCAGTTGTATTTTGAAATAAATGCTGTTGTAATGCATAAGTTCAGAAACTCATTTTGCTACTCTATAGTTGATATTTTCTGACTGGAGACAGTTTCTGCTTATCGATCTTTCTTCATTTTCTCATTTGTACATATAATGATAACATGTATCTCAGACAACATAGGAAATTTCAATATAACATTGTAACACAGAGTTTGTTTAAGAAAAGTGACTAATACAGATGCTAGTCCTCTTGGTTGTGATGTATGGATACAACTTCAAATCTGGCATGGGTGACTAATGCATCATCTTGGCTGGATAATCTTTAGAATCAGTCCCAAAATCATCTGAGCAGAAATTCAACCGTGAAATTACTAAATGATCAGCTCTTTGCTTACTAAGTACATATCACTTACTTTAAATATGCTGAGGAAAGTTCTGGCCAGCACAGACAATACATTAATCACTTACCAGAAACAAAAATTTATTATCTTAGGACTGATGGTCATCAGTCACTTATTCCAATTTCATTGTGTTATATCTTCCTGTAACATTAAATTATTCCAATAACAGTGGAATAACAGCATAATCTGTGAGCACTTCATGAAACTCATTCACAGTTTGCAAATTAGGATAGATTTTATACTTTAAAAATACTGCTCTCCACATATAAAAAGTGAAAATTAATTTTCCACTACTGTCTTCTACTTCTGAAACAGAATTTTATGATCCAGTGATATGGGTTAGTGTGTCACCAGTGTACTGTAAGAAGTGGAGCTTTTTCCCCAGTGACTTCCAGCCCTGTGAGAAGTGTGCGAACAAGTTGGCATGCTCTACAAAAAGAAATCCTTTTGCATTTAATTTCAGCTCTTAAAGTAACTGGATTCAGCACAAATCAGGAGTGGGCAAAAGACAGCTTGCAAGCTCTTACATGAACACTGACTAACTCCACAGTAGAATTTTTATATTAACACTAAAGGACCCATAAAATATTAGCTATAACATTGTAACTCACCTGTCACTATTATCTGCTTATTTGATATGATTTCTAACTCTGCTGTTGTCAAATGTATGAAGATCAGCTTTTGAAGTATTTGCTATTTCTGTACAACTCCTTGCCCACCCCTCAATCAAACAGATGCTTTTAGTACATACATATACAATACAATTGACATGTCTTAATACATCACATAGAACTTAAAAATTATTTTATTCTCTAACATTGACCCTGATCACAGATCATTTAAATTCTACAATTTAGGAAGGTCCTGATTTTGTTTCGGCCAAGTTACATATTAACCTGGCTCTTTAATTATTGTCAACCCTGAAAATTATCAAGGGTTTAACTGTACAAACAACTAATAGAACACTGAGTTAGATATGTATATGCATATATATCTGAGAAGAACACATAATCACTTTAACACTTCAACACTGACATCATGTATTTTATACATTGCATAAACATATAATAATCCATGGCAAATATATTATTAAATCACTGATATTAAAAATCTTGACTTATAATATGAATACAGTAAATATTTATCTTAAGTTTCCTCACATCATAATGGTAATTGTCACAGACTCATTATTGTCATACATTCACAAGTTATTAGTCAGAAAGGCACTCAGTACTGTCAACTAAACAGTTCAACTCAGAGCTACAAACTTAATAAAAATATATTGTATTGTTTATGTTGTTACCAAAATTCAAATTCAAAATAATATGAAAAGTGTACTAACTCTTGCTGCACAATTCTTTACACACGCAGTTCTTATTAAATTATTGTCAGATTTACCTCATCACTGGAAATAAGATTTGAGATAATACAATGAAAGTTAACTTCTTGAAATATATTTACTATTAAAATATTTTATATCATTTGCTAATGGGTAAGTAAGTACCAGTATATGTCTTATGATATGTGAAGTGGATATAGTAACTTGATAATTAAAAAATAAATAGTGAAATTACCCCATGACATAAACAACCTGTCAGAAAGCATGTAGGTGGTAATCTTTCAAGTGCAGTCTGTGCCAACTGCAGGGAATCAAAGCAGTGCCAGCAGAAAGGAGGCAACAGTTGTGCATGTGAGTGCCATTTTCATCATGAGAGCTTATTTGTCAACATGCAACATATTTTTGATACCTCATGTACCAATTCTGTTTATATGCCAGGCTTTTTATGGAAGTGAATAATTTAAAAGAAAATTAGAAGTACTTTTCATCACAACGTAACCAAACAATTTAATTTAACAAATTAAGTTAATTCTTAATGGATTATAAATTCTGCTGACAAAGAAAAACTACCTTACTTTCCCCTTTACAGAAAATGGTTTCAAAAGCTTTTGTGTAAGCGAAATGTTTTAGGAAAACAATTACTGGGCATTATTCCAGAATGCTATGACAGAATGGTTCAATTTTATACACTTCTGTTCTTACACACCAGTATTTTAACTTGTTTGTACTGAAACAGAAATGTCTGCAAGAAGCTAGCCAATAGTAATGCAACATGAGATCAAATACTTATATGGGTCACTAGAAAAGTGTTGAAAACATGAAAAAAAAGTGTCAACCACTGCACAAACTGCCAGAATAATCTTGTAAAACGTTAACCAACCACTTTAACTGCATCAGAAAAGTAAATACTCTGAATATTAACCCACTGCATATAAATTTATCAAGAACATTAATTTTACTTTTTTTGGTAGAGTCCCTCTTTGTTCAAGTCTACATGGTTTCTGGTTTTTTGTACCTACGCATGAGCACAACAAGCACAAAACCCAGTCAGATTTTGGCAGTATTATGTTTAAATCAAGCACTATATTCACTTCCACAATGACAATCATTGCATGGCTGAACCCACATATGTCATGTAAAACTTTACATTTCTAAAATTGTCTGCAAAAATTATAGGGCTTTTATAAACATATTTGACTACTGGCCTTCAGTTACAAGAACTGCTTGAAGAGGGCATGTACATATTATGCAAAAACCAGAGTACTAATGTCAAGACTACAACTTTGAGATTAGTTTTATTTGGAAACTTATTCCACTTAGATGCCATTTCAGTGTGTCACAGAGGTTTATAAGCACCCTCTATGTAGGCCTACAAGATCAGTTGTGTTCACTGGAAGTTTCTACCACGCAACAAGTATACATTTTGTAGTCTCATATTTTGTAGCTAAACATTTAAAAGAATGATTAGAAAGCCCAGAACACATGTTTAAATCTACTAAGAAACAATATTACCATGTAAACAACTAACTACATTTCTTTAGCAATTTGTAAATAATGTTTCATTTCTTTTGCTCTGAATTTTCTTTTTTTCTCACAGCATTTGTGGGTGTGTATAAAAGTAGCACAGATGAGGACTCATGGCATATTACTTATTCAACATCTTTTCAAACACTGATGACAATGCACGTAAAAAGGAATTTTCTGTATTCTCAGAAACCATACAAATATTTCGGTTTATAAAATGTTCTTCAAAGTAGTTAATTACCATTTCAGCCTTTTTCTTTATGTGCACAAGTTTTAAACATACTTGCGACAAATTCTGTATCAAATACGGGATGAACAACTGACTTTCAGTTCCCAGGAATTTGTTGTCCTGAGTTTTAATGTAGTGTGGACTTTTAGTAAATTCTCCTAAACATTAGTAACTACCTACAAGTCCACATAGCATCAGAGCCCAGAAGAACAACATCAGCTAATACAAAATAACACTGCTGAATCAAAATACTGAAGAAGTTAAACAGGAGTGATTGTTTAGAAAAGTTTGTGCAAAGTATTTGTGAAGCAGCACAGACACGACACAGGAAGTGCTGCATTCTTAGGCGTTATTAATACAGATATACGTCTTTGATGATGACCAATGCTACTTTTAGAAAGTTGTCTAGAATTTATATTGAAATGGGGGCAGAATTTCTTGCTGTCAATGTACTAAAAAACTGTCCATTGTGGTATGGTCAGTAAATGGCATTCATCAAACAAACACACACACACACACATCCTCACACATCTGTGTCAGTATTTTCATCTACAATAAAATTATTGTCAATTTATGGCAGCCTTATATGTGATAATTAATTCTTTTGCCTCTTGGCATATTTAAGACAGTTACATTCACTTCTTTCTGTTATGAACAGATCCATGGGTATCAAAAATGTATTCAATCATATAATAGGAATTATAAAATATATATAAACTTTTGAAATTTCTATCAAGTGACAACATTAAGTTTTGTTCTATAAAAATGTTGCCATCTAATAAATAACAATTGTATTTCTCAGTATACTAAAGAATGTTCATTAAAAGATAATTTATATATTATAACTGCATGCCTATCTGTGGACATGTGTACCAGCATTCATTTATGACTATCTTAAGAGGAAATAAACATTATAAATACAACAATACATGAAACAAGTGTAAAACTATTATTTTTACCCATCCCACAGTGAATTGTCTATCCGGTTCTAAACCATGGTTCAGTATACTGATATGTTGATAACTTTAAGTTACATTTGGTCAACAACTTTAAATTATGTAAAGGGGATCCAAATTCAACCTCCACAGATGACAACCACAAAATGTTTTACCTGGAGCATAAATTTTTTTTTATCAATGTGATAATCACAACTCTTCAAGTTGTATTCCCAATATGTCCAACTTTTCAAAGGCAGTGGCACATGATTCTAGAATATTTTATAATTGTAGTCTACCAAACACAGAGTAATGGTTTATTGCACTAGAATACATATTGCAGAATTTTGTAATAAGGAGATTGCTACTTCGTACTCTTAAACAAATATGAGTATGAGATGAGTGGGGCATGTAGTATGAACTGGAGTGCATGGGAAATCTTGTCCAGAAAATCTGATGTGAAGAGGCCAATTATGAAACCTTGGCACAGAGAAGCACACAACATGAAAATGGACCTTAGAGAAATATTATGACGCTATGCACTGGATGAGGACTTGTGAACACAGCAATGAAAATTCAGGGTTCTGTAAAACAGATGGAAATTTATTGAGCAACTGAGTGACAGTAAGTTTTGCCACTGGGACCCTTCTCCATGTGGTTGGTTAGCTAGTATTTCCAACTTGGTTTGTAGCTCATCCACATCTGAGATGATTTCATAACCTACCCAAAGAAACAGTAACACTCTGAGCTGAGGGTTGAGTTTTCAGAAATGTGAGACATATAGTCTTCCTCCCCTTCAGGACACAAATATTTAATGTAGAAACATTTATACACCTTGTCACAGTGCTCTTGCACATTACAAACTACTGCCGGTTGTGCCAATCGAGACACAGGGACATCTGTTTCCAGTGCATATAACCGATTCCCCGTAAATGGATTACAAATAAATAACTGGTCCAAATTTGTACTGGTGATCATTTTCAGGTGACTATATACATATATATCATAGCATAGCATAGATAACACAGATGCTATAAACAACAACAAAATGTTTTAAAAGAATGTGTAAACTACATTGTCCTCAATATCTGTAGAATAATATTGTTGTGAAACATTTCTTGTTAAAGATAGCTATCTTCTGGGTAGCAGTGCTGCATAGTCTGGTAGATGTTCTACCAGACTACACGGTGCTACAGCTATGTTCGGATATGCCACTGTGTAAACCTCGGATCCAATTTCTTGTTAAATACTGTATTCCAAATGAATGTGTCTGGCTCTAACTTGCATCACTATGGACATGAATTACTTTTCCATTGCCTGTTGGGTTGCAACATTCTGTAACAAGTCTAAAGACTTACTCATTTGTTGTCATCAGACTAAGTGTCACTACCCCAAGTAAATTTGAAGATGAAAAAACGTAACTTAACAGCTAATGTTCTCACTCAAATATAGTGATTCATAACACAGCCATGTATTTTTGCATAATTGTGCATAAGACCTGAACCATATAGCATGGTGCTCCTGAGAATATACACTCGCAAACAAATATAAAAAAGAAATTTTTAAAATAACTGCAGTGAATTCAGTTTACACTTTTTTACTGATCTGTATAATCTCCCTTTAGGCTGTCAATCACATCAGTACATACATGATACAGAACAAGTAAAGAATTTGTACTATGTTTCATTATAATGTTACTATGGCAACATTAGAAGCATTCTTAATAGAATAATAGTAGTAATTCTGCTCTTATGTTTTGTCTACTTCTGTAAACATTTCTAAAAGCAATGTATATTACAGGGACAATTGAATTTCAGTCCGTAGAGAAATAATAGCCAAGTAAACGTTTGATACCCACAAATCTGTACACATATTTTATATTTCAGATGGTAGCAGTAATATGTAGCAAAGGGAGCTTCCTGATTGGATTTGTTATGCAAACATATCAACTGATAGTGATACATATTCACATATTATAAAGCAGATTAACTATCAATCAAACACGAACCATTCGTGACGTTTAACATGGCTACACAGGGGACAAAATAAATCTTCCTTAGTGTACAGTGCAGTATTCTAATATGAATTAATGATTACAATGACGCTTTTTAGTTGCTGTCAACAGTCATCTTGATCGAGATTCACCTGTTTTATTCCTTGACTTTCTTTTTCACAGTCCTTGTCAGTGTATGGCATTCCCCTTATTTTTGTAAAGACACACTGGTATAATATTTTTTACAGAAATATTATAGTCTTAATGCCTTTGCAGAAAACCGACTTGCAGGAAGCATTTCAGCTGGTATATATATTCATTCCAGTGACAGGGACAGTTGGGTATTGAGTTTTTCACTGTCACTTGTTTGATAACTGTGATCATACATTCATCGCTGCTTCTTGCTTCACAAGCATTTGGTGCTCTGTAGCCTGTTCCAAGTTTTAAAACTTAAACTGACTTTTCTGTCTACTCCTACGTCTTCTTGCGTTTCTCTTTTCCCTTAGAGCATGTGTGATTATCATTAGAGATCCCATCTTCTTACATTATGTATGCAAATTAACAAGTAATTTTGTATTTCATCAGGGGTTCTTAGTTTGCAATGTTTTTTATTTCTTCATTCCGTAGTTTGTCCTCGAAGGTCCAGGAATGCATACACAAACAGTTTACAGTCTTATTTTGTGTTTCTCTCACATCCTACACTTCACTTCAATATACAAACTCTGTGTAGTTTCAATACTGTGTATACCAAGTAAAATATCTATCCATTTATCTTACTTAAATTTATTTTTAATATTTTATGATCATTCACCAAACTCAATGGTTTGTGTCTATTTATGGTTTAACGTTCTAGTGGAAATGTTACAAATGCACACGTTCTTACCTACGTAGTTTTCACTTTAACTTTTATCATATGGTTACATGGCTTGAAACCTCAGCTGGCAGCTAAATTCTAACTACAGGATTTAATGGTTTGGCTGTATGCCACTGCAGTGCAAGGCCAGCTGGTCTGCCTGTACAATGACAGACTGTCAATGAAGGTTAATGATCTTTACATAAAGGTAGGAGGCATGACTCCAGACTGATGCTCCCTCTGTCTTACATACTGATGCTACCCTGAATACAGCAGTTCCACTCATCAATTCCACAGGGGCATATATCTTAACCCAGACCTGAAATCACAAACTCATGTACCTGCCTCTTGTCCTTTGGGAATTAAATCCCAAAAACATTATTCATTTTCTTTAAAATAAAATTCCTCTAAATGTATTTACAAATATAGATGACACTTGGAAATTCTTACCTGTGTCATTTCATCTGTTATTGTCAACTGAGAACCTGGGGTACATTTTTATTGTCATAATCTGAAACTTGTTTTCTCTGTTCATTCTTTATAACAGATCAATAGTGATCATGCATAAGAAAAATTCAAATATACATAAATATAAAATTGACGCACTGCTACATTTTAGCAACCACAGTGAACATACTGTAACATCCTTCAACATAGCAAGCAATTATTTTTATATCAGAGAAACCCTAGTTTTGTGGCTACTAATTTGGTCCACCCTCATCTCCTGCTCTCCCAACAAATTCAACTTCCACATCTTATCAAATACGATTAAACACTTGCCAATGTCGCATGTTTCATGTTATTTATCACCATACATAACGTTAAAAATTATCCCGTATTGGTGTTTGTGTTTTTCTCAGCACACAATATTGTGTGAGTCACACGTCAGTACTGGCCTCCAATGGTATGATGTTCAGAAATAGTTTCCCTAAAACTGGGGAATTAGCATCTTATAGTGCCAAAGTCCATCTAAGACGGAGGGTCAGAGAGATGTGTGCAAATGACTAATAAAGTTCTGCAGAAAGAGCTTTGCTCTGAACACAAAAATGCTGCTTTTGAAAAGAATTTGTGTTGACTGGGACTCATTTATGACAGTCTTCAGACACAAATCCTGCATTACAGCAGTTTTATTATGTACTGTACCATTCAGAATTACTATATTGGTTTATAAACAAATATATTCTTTTAAAAGTGTTTAAAGAAGTTTCTCTGATAACATAACAAATGGTATTGCAGACTTCACTATACTCATTTTGGCATCACAAAGGACAGGAATATGTTACCACACAATGATGACAAATTACTATAAGGTTGGTTTAAGTAAACTATGTTTTTCAATAAATCTAGCATCTTGTAAAACACTGGCATAAGTAACATGACATCATCATACTAACAAATTTGTTTAGTTAAGGGGTAATTGTTTTGCCATGCTATGCAAAACCAACCAGCCTATCCTATGGTTTGATCATCTGATATGTCTCCAAGGAAATAATGTAGGATGGGTCAATTAAACTGTTTGTAGGAGGAAATAATAAAATAAACACATAAGAAAATTAAAATTAATATTAAATAAGATAATGTAACATAAGCACAATAAAGAATTATCAGCATATAATTCTAGGTTATGTTAGTAGATCATTACCTGAAACCAGTCAAAAGAAAAATTATATATCTATTACTGTAGGAACACTTCCATTTGAAAAATGTAACTCTTGTCAGTGAGTTAAAAACAACATATAGCTAGAGAGAGTTTTTGTCCCTGTGCCCAAGTAACATACACTCACTTTACACAAAATTCCCAGAACACATGCCTTATTCTTTCCTCTAAGTACATTCATCAACATTAGTAAATATCAAACATATCTCTGTCTTCTTTTGGAAAAGTTTTAATAATCAGTAAGTACTTAGAAAAATATATGTTAATACCAAACATGATCACTTCCATACTACTCATTGGTTGAACTTGTGAAATTCTTCCTGCTTCAGCTTTCATGTCTGCTACAAAATGGCTGCACTCAAAGTGTTTCCCACTTTAATTTAGGTGAACTATTTTCATTTACATTTTTAGAAAAAAATTTATTTTACACAACAGCAGCTTTATAAAAATAAAATTATAAGATCAACAGAAATGATAATAATAATAAATATAAAACATATGTACAGAATAAGCACAAGCAATAAAGGAATACATTAACGAAAAATGAATATAATCTGAAATAAAATTGGAGCATTTGATATGACATGTTATTGCATGCATTTCAGGTTTTTACGTTCCTGTAAAATTTTGTTAAATAATTGCACATGCTCTTAAAAGTGTGCCTTTCCAAAATGTACTCATAATGCCCTTACCACATTCTGTTCCAATACAAAAACCAACTCATGGGCATAGTAAAATGCCAACCTGCCATTTCAAAATTTCAGCAATCAAAATATTTCCAGGCCATTCAATGTGTCATTTAAAGGGAGGACAAAAGGCATTGAAAAATGTTATCAGAAGAAAATTCTGACCCAAAACCATGATGGAATAAGATCACTTCAGAGACCGATATGTAGATGGGAGAATAATCTAAAGACACATTTTGATAAGATTGTGTGAGGGTGTGAACAGCAGTAATGCAGCGTAGATCCAGTGGCAGGTTCTTGTAACCAGAGTGGCCATTATCACTGTGTCACTTTATGGAGCTGTCCAAAGAGTAATGGATAATTCTGTCTGCTTTTGTTAAGAAGGACCACATTTACTGCATGATTATGAGCTGAAAACTATGTTTATAAATGCTTGGGAGTCAGACCACAATAACGGATATTTATCTGAAGAAAAAGTTCCAGAATTTAAGATGTTAGGAAATATACGCATAACGTAACAGTTCTGGCCCATTCGCTAAAATGTTACTTTGGAAATAACGCTAGCGACATCAGATCTGTCTGAGGTCAATGGGTGTGGTGTCTGGCTGGGTAATTAAGTCATCATGAAGGATTTCACCAAGGCAGGTTGTGAATTACCCACGCGAGGAATCCCCAGGTAACCATGGTAACCATGATATGGAAGGCAACCAAGATGGCCTGGGGGATTCCTCGCCCAATCACTCCCATGGAAGAAATGCACGCAGGTTGTCGTGTAAACTGTCCGTTAATTTCGTCTGATTTCGACTAAAACTGGAACGCTTTGACATATTTTAGTTCAATTACCCAGTATAAAATTTAATGAAAATTCCTTCGACCGTTCTTAAGTTGTAAAACGACGACTGAGTGGCTGGGGGGGGGGGGGGGGGGGGAGAAAGGCATGCCTATGCTTGAGACCAATATCACAAAAATTGCATTCCCAAAGTATGTTCTGATGAAAGTAGTTTCGTATCATTACGCCTATTGTTCGACACAAATTTACAAGCTCACACGTTACCACAATAATATGCAGATCTTTCAGACTCCACAAAAAGTTCCTACAGGCACGGGATACCCAGGTTTCAAGAAGATTTTGGCATAAAAGAATGTTTCAAAAATGCAGAATGACCAAAACTGAAACAGTTAATACAAAATCTTACAGGATCTTAACAAACTGCATTAGCTAATAATATGAATGAATAATGGATATGTAATTATGCAATAGGATAGCCTGGCCACTGCTACCAACTGTTCTACTGTGGCTGCATCTGCTTAGTATAAATATACTCTCATATACAACAATTCAGCTGTTATTGTCACCACGTAAAGTCTTATTGTCTGCTCACAGTGAGAAGAAATGGACTGAATTTTAATTATGAATTATGAATATTCCCTTTACCATTAAAATGACAACAGCTCACATAACCTGAAGGTGGCCAGTATGAACTAGCTCCTACTTCTTTGGTCAGTGAGTTTATAAATTATGTCTAAGTATGTAAAACTTCCTTGCTGCTCATATCATATTCACTAACCACCAACAGGCTCAACTGCCTGTCCATCAAATAAAATTAAAATTTGTAGGCTCTTGACAAGGGTCATTTTGTGTAACAAAGAGCACTTCAACTTTGCACCAGAGCAATCCCCACCCTGAGGAAGACTGCACTTCACCTGACCAAGCCAATCACCGCTGTAATAAAGAAAATTGTTGAGCTGAAAGCTGCCATGCTAGCAGTACTGGTGCCGTTACGCTGGGACCGGTACCCCATGTCCACAACGTGGATTTTCCATCCAAGGTGGGTGTGTGAGTAGCACTGCAAGAAATAAGTTTATAAAGCATAACACTCTGTAACATGATGAAATGCTATCGAAAGATCCTATAGCAGACGTCAAATGATAAATATAACATGCTGTTTGTAATCACATTCAGCATTTAGAAATAAAGCACAGTTTTTAAATTAAAACCTTAACTGTGCAGGTTCTTGCACATAAGAGAATCGATCACCTGTTATCACACGATTCGATTGGAAATTCTGTCTGCACTCTAGTGAGACCACTCTACTTGTCTGATGTCCTCCAACATGCAACCATATCTCACACAAGTTAACACATTCTTTGACACAATGATGTTCACCTTCTGTGATTTCTAGAATAACATTCTGAAACCTCCAAAATGTGTGAATTATTTCTGTGAACTGAGGTTAAAATCCCACAGATTCAATTTCGTATTTCCCAATGTGGTATGCACTCTAAGAGGACATGATCTCCTGCCTCAGAAGTCAGTTTCATGTCCAGATAAAAGGTCATGTACAAATTTTATAGTATTGAATATTTCTATCTTTACATTCTTAGACATAAAACATCATGTTATATGATTGTGTTATGCCTGGAACTTGCACACAACAAGGCACAGGATATTATTTTTACCTGGTAGTACAAGAGGTCTGGTGTTTCTGTTGCTACAGTCCAATTGAGGTAGGCAGGTTCGCCATCATCACATTCCAGCCGCAGGGTGTCCAGGTATTCATCAAACGTCTCCATTTCTGCTGAGCGATCAATAGTCTTGTGTGCCCATTCACAGTAATGACCAGCTGAACAAATAAAGAGACAATCTGAATGTGCTCTAGATGGGGGTGAGTGGTCAGTGTCATCCCCTGGCCATACTTTGTCCCTGGGGAAGGGACCCCGAGTACCCACTGAACAGGATGCTAGAAGGAAAATCCTTTGCTCTGCTAGGGATCAAACCCCAGTCATCCAAGCTGTAGTCAGAAACTGTACCGACAGGGCCAATCTTACTCCTTTGCACTGCAGCAGTACTTTAATTAAATATACACTTACACACACACATGAATGAGTTTTGTTCAAAAAACTTAATTTATTTATCTTCAAGATCAAGATATGTCACTGACAAACTGCACTCACTGTTCATCACTCTGACTCACCTGCAGTTGGATAGGGGTATCCCTCCGCATCGTAGCGTACACCTGCAAACACACGTTGCTTCTTCTGTTCTGCTTCAGACTTCTGACCAAAACCACCTTCGCTGCTGTCAGTTATGTAGAAAGGGTGGTAACGTGCAGGATTTGTTCGATCATTTCCACCCTCAACAATGAAGGTGTACGTCTGGCCCCGCTCTACATAGATTTCTGGGATCAGCAGATCATTGATATACCAGGAAATTCCCCAAGATGGGTGACCTGATAAAATTAATATTAATTTTAATAAGTAGGATTTGATGTTTTCATGGTGGTGAGTTTGAAAATGGTTGTCTTTTGGGTTGTAGCACCATACAGTCTGGGTAGAGGTTTCAAAATGTTTCAGAGGTCCTTGATGCCTCCATCATTTCAACACTTCATATACCTACTTTAAAAATCAGAGTATTCCAGTATTTTGGGACTTCAGTATTTAATACACAAAATTCTAAAAATGTAAACTTGGTGCTGTGCTTAATTAAGCACATTCCATAAAGAAGTACAGGGAAGTTAAGAGATACTGAGGTTAATGATCAGCTTCAAGCTCTGCCTACTTTACCTTACTTACAGAAAACTTGATGGGCAACAGAGCCAGTTAGAAAATAATTCCTATTCCTACCAGGAATCGAACACATAAAATTCCTATAATCGTTAACATCACAGCTTAAGCTGTCAGACCTGTTCTGACTCAATTACTTTTAACATTGTTTAGAATTAGTCACTCCAGGATTCCTTGCAGTGTTCAACATTTATTTTCCTTGTATGTTTATATTTATTTATTTCTGAGGCCTAACACATACTGTACCTGTGATTGGTGTGTAGCCTCTCTTACCCCCTGTGGGTCCAATGCGAGCCGAGAACACAGACTCCCCTGTAATGACTGCAGGAGGCCATGGTTTGAGAGTCTTTTCATCTGGCAGGTCGAAGAGGGAAGTGGTGCAGGCGTGGTCACTTCTGCTGCTGAAGTCAATGCGTATATCATCTGTACACATACAAGTACAGCACTGATAAGAGCCTTCATGGAAAGTAGAAGGTGAAGAATTAATATCAAATGTTCAAGATTCTAGGTGTAATCATTATGGTAGGTCAACTAACCTTAACCGCCTGTGCACTCACCTGTTGTTTTGTCAGGGGCAGCATGTGAATTTGCCTCCTTGTTACTGTTGAGTGGTCCCACAGCAGCAATAACACTCACTTCTACATCAGTAGGAATGGGCTGGTCATTGATTGGCTCATTGGTCTGAAGTGGACGCCTGTACACAATTGTAGTCACACCGTTCTTTCGTTCACCTGACACCAAAACTGCATCGTTGCGGCCACCAATACGCTCATCCGGACACACACCACTCTTCCCATTACACTAACACAGATATAAACGTAAGACTTATAAGCTCAGCTCAATTTATAGGTTATTTAACAGAACAGCATTTACATATTCAGCAGCGAAGGTAAGTGCTTTAATGTATCTATCTGTCTGACTGGCTGCACAAATGAATGTGTGTTCCATCACACATCCATCCCTGTGCGTTGCCAAGACTATTAATGTAATCAGCCACAGAATGATATATTTGAATTTCTGCCACTACAACATCTAAACTGTCTGATGGATAACATTCTTACAAAATGTAAAGCCAGTGTGGAAATAAACATGAAATTTAATGTGCTACACAGAATTAAAATAATATGTTTAGTTAAAAATCAGTGTTTCCTGGCAGAAAAGGTCTGATGTTACTTTGAGGTTAGGTCTGACAATTATAACCTATTTTGATTATTTTATTATATTTTGAAGACAAGGTGCCAGCATTGTGAACTGGTACATAACACAACAAAAAGTTTCTAATTTAAATGAGCATCTTATAGCAAGAAATTTCAGTTGGTAACTGCTTCATGGCTGGCCTTTAAGAAAATACAACTTGTTCCTAAACTCCACATATCAAAATGGATTTAATTCACGAGGTTCTCAGAAGTAACAAACTCCGTGGAGCAAAGTCCTTCCTGAGAAGCTGGAAGTCACTCAGCTAGTCATGGTATATATATGATATTTATGAAATCCATAGTTTATTACCATGTTCAAAACAACCCATCACAAGTCCCTACTTTAAGCCAGCAGGATCCAGTCCAAGCTCTCACATACTTTAATTTCAAGATACATTTTAATATTAACCTTCAATCTATATTCTTCCCTTAGAGTGATCTTACCAAGTTCTACAACCATACAAAACAAAAGTTCTATCTCTTCTCACAAGAATCCATATAGTAATGCTGACCTGTGCTGTGGCGGACATGTAGTAATCCTCGACCCGGAATGTACCTCGTTCACTGTCATAGAATGCAACCACAACATCACCCCCAATCATATAGGAGCGTCCCTGCTCACCACTGAGACCAAACGCCATGTACTGGTCTTCCCTCATGCGTGCTGCCAACTGTATCTGCACCATGTCACCCTGAAGCTCCCACTGCACCTGCAGGCGCTCGTTAAGCAACTGACGACAGTTGCTTGGCCTCTCCTCTCTTGGATCAGAGGTTGTGCTACTTGTCTGCAAATCAAAGATTCTTTATTAATTCCCCATAAGATACATGAGTATACCGATACTTAAGCATCTTCTGCTGTATGGTTGTGCATGTACAAGGTTTTCAATTTTATAAACAGCAACAAATTCATGAATGATCCATTCCGCAGAAGGAACAAAGTTTAGTAACTCTGTAGAGCTGATACTTTGACAAGCTAATAATCACCCAATCAAGAAATTTTCTGCCTTCCTTTCTACCAGAAGGTTCACTACCATTTTCACAAGATCCTCCCTCTGAACTCTAACATGAGCAAGATTAATCCAATCCACATCATGTTGTTTGATTTGGTCACCCAAACAATATACATATTGTGAAGAGTATAAATCATTAAGTTCTTTATTTTGTAATTTTCTTCATCCAACTGTTAATTCTCCACTTTTATAGACAAAATATTCTCCTTAACTCCCTGTTTTCAGACACCCTCAATCTGAAAGAAGCTGTTACTACAACGTTACAAAAATAAACTTTCACTTTCTCAGTGCGAAGATTTACAGTCATTACCCAAGTATCAGATAAAGTCTCTGTAATGACCTGCTCCCTCAACTCCTTTAACTTTTATTGGCCATGCGTCATGGCACATGCGTACTTGAGCTGACCACGGATTGCAGCACTAAACCCCTAAAGTTCACGTCTGGCCAGTAGTCCCATAGTATGAGGGTTTAAATCCCTTATTCGTGTATTAATGATAGAGGGTGAAATATCCCCCCTTACACAGCAACACTGCAACCATAAGAACAGTCTCTCTCAAAAACTGAACAAACCACAGTTTCATCAACTTTCAATGTAACCTGTACACCATAAGGTATCTATTTTCAGCCTTTACTTAAGCGTGTTTGTACTTACAGGATTGTACCACCAGGGGGGCTGGCAGCACCCATTGAAAGACATGCAACAATACATGCAGCAAAAGTTACACTGGCACAGTTCAACTGTCATAACAAGTCAGACTAGTTCTGGCAAAGAAAATGCTGAAATACAACATTTTCTCATTGTAATACAAAATCTTTTGCTAATACAATATAGTAATGGAACTCACAAGAGAGTAATTGAGTGAGCTTTGTGCTGTTTCTATTGAATACAGCACAGACTAGAATCTGCAGATGAATGCTGCTGAATGGTGAGCAGGAAAGAAGTTTAAAGAGGTCATGGTACATTTGAAGGTGCTAAAGTGACTTTTGCTGCAGGGCCTGAAAACCATGAAGACCTCTAATACTAAAATAACAGCATACACGTGTACATAGAACATTAAGCACAAATTTAAAATACACAAAAGTAAATATACAAATAACTAGACCAAATAAATGTTACTGCTCCTAGAACAGGGGTAAGCAGTTCAATTTATTCAGAAGCCACAAGGGGTTATTCTGATGTGACAGTTAACTGGACAGCCTAGTGAGAAATCTTTTCAAATTAAAGAAATGTCATTAGACAGCTACCAATTTCTTAGTGCATAATTACACTTAATTAATTTCAAAATAATATCCTGCACGGTCATTGACGTTATCAAAGTCTTAAAACACACATGAAAAGAAATATAAAGCTGATCCCACTTGACTTTGTCACATCCACGTCTAGATATAGGAAATGGAAATATGCGGGCTACCCTAGGGAATCCGTAAAACTCATTACCACAACATATGTTGCGATATTTCAAGTTCTTACGGCAGCTGGCATGAAGGTGATTGTCTTCTGGGTTGCTGCACCGTGAAATCTAGTAGAACCTTACCGAGATTTCAGACATGCTTGCTGCCTCCATCATCATTACATCTGAAACATCATTGAATATCCACCAGGGCACAACATCCAAAAAAACAGTCATCTCAAACTGTGCCACAGCCGTCTATGAGACATCGGAATGTTTAAATGTAGATTCAAGGACAGGCGCCAAATGGTACAAGCAATGAGAAAGCTAAACTCAGAATGTCGGCGACACTCACAGTGATCTTGGTCTGTCCCAACGCTGGCGGAACGTCAAGGTCCTTGGGTATAAGAACGTGACCAAAGTTGTGCCTGTACTGAACGCACCACACAGCCAACCAGTCTATGTCATACACTGTGAGGTTTCCTGGAAGCTGGATCTCAATGTCCTCTCCCTGGTAACCCCTCAGTGGTTCTAAACTGGAAGAAGCAACATTGTTATGAATTGTGACACTTCATCTTCAAAATTATCTTATTTACAAGATTTAATTTTGCTTCTACTATGCGCAAAGCTTCATCAAATTCACTCAAACGAGATCACTCGACAAATAGGATAAATCTCAGTAATATATACAATATTACATTAGCTTCCCATCTAATCCTTGGTCTCCAAAGCGATATCTTCCCTCTCTTCCACCATGAATTGATCATGATAATAATATATGGAGAAGAATACAAAGTATAAAATTCCTCATAATGGTGTTTTCTCTGTCTTCTTGTCAGCACCTGAATAAAACCATGACTTCACTGGTGATGTCCGAAACAATCAAAGCTATACAAGTTTGTCCGCCTGAATGAGACTGGTCAGAAGTGAAGTAACATTTTGGCAGAAGACATCAGACACGATTCTGTATTTAAGAGCAATCCGATGAAATGTCAAAATGAGTTTCTGAATACTGCGAACAAGCCGACGCAGTCACCACATTTTGCCTCACTGTAATTATTTAATGGAACAGAAGTTCATGTTGCAGAAACCTGAACATGCGCAATCCCATCTCTGAGTTTGTCGCTCGGTGTAAGTTCAGGCAGGCTCAAAATAACGCTCATGTCCAGAACTTTCCTCTCAAAGACGAGAACCACAAAACATCGGTAGCCATATGTTAGGTTAGGTTAGGTTAGGTGAATTCATTACAGTGAAAGTTGGCAACGCTATCTCACCTGCCCATCTCACTGGGTACCTTGATGCCCAGTGGACTGGGTTCTGTGCCGTTACCAACCCAGAAGTACGCATCGGGCCCTGCTCCGTCGTAGTGTAGGTTGGGAATGTAGAATGTTCTGGCGTCCAGGACACTGACGTTGCCGGATCTGAGACCGTGAGCGAGTCTCTTGAACTCGGGCAGTACCCGTGGTTTGGGCACCTCCAAGTTGTTGGGGATGAAAATGTCACCAAAATTAACCTGCAACGCCACATACACACACATGAGCGTCCTCTCAAATTCGGTGCTAAATATCATTTGACAGTGTCGTTAAACGATGTGTAACAAATCTTTATTCCTTCGTTAATTAATTGCATTGGACCAATTGTTTACATCGTGCAGCGCTGATGGAAAATAATGTAAGAATGAATGTCATCTGGGAATTACTCAGGAAAAGTGGTCATGGCCTACTTAAAATCCTGTACTTACCTGGAAAACAAAAAAACAAAAATAAAAATCCTCTCGGTCACCCAGCACTAGATTATTTCTGCACAAAAATAGATGTAAGTTTTAGGTCTTGCTTAAGTAACAATCTATTCCTGTCACGATTTGAAGGTGCTAAATAAATATAAGGAATAATGAGGATCCAGGGTTTGACCCATGTTTCATCTCTCGAGGTACTCTGACAGATTTGGTGTTCCGATTCTACGCCGAAAGTTCAGAGGGTGATTTAGTACAAATAAACATCACGTTTTAGGGCTTGGAATATCGCTGCATCTCAATAGCGATCTGATAACGCGAGTTCAAAACATTCTGAAGTATTTCAGCCTGTTTCAGACAGGTATCATATACGGTTATTGATAATATTGATAATATTAATAATAAAATTATATAATACATGTAATACATATTAAAAACAAAATGTATCCCGGAAATAGCTGCTGCCCTATGTACCTTAGGGACAAGGTCTGTCTCGGGTACATGGAAGTACATACCCCATAAAGTGGTGAATATATGCGATAATTGAGATAATAGGAATAAGAATAAGAATTAATCAACCGTGACTGTCTGCGTATAAGATGCATCAGCAATGAACAAATATTACGGTCAGGTAAGTAGAATCTATCTGTAAACACAACTGTAGTAATGTGTTCTGGATATAGCACGGCATAGTATGGTAGATATTGACCGACGTTTCAGAAGAGCTTTCTGCCTCTATCATCAAGGTAATGTCGGAGACAGTGGGATTCTCTGGAACGTCAATCAACTGTGGTACCGCTCAGAGTCGCCATATTGCACTCTGGCTTTCAAAAACCTTCCCCGGGCGTTTGTGTGAAAACCCCGTCCGGTCCGGCCGTAGAGGAGGGTCGCCTGGACCGTAATTATCTCTTTTCACGGGAATGAAACTGGGGCCTAAGGTAAAACAATTCGAGTTTGCATTGGAGGGGTCCTTCTTGTCTGCGCAAAAGTCGCTGCGCGTTTACGCACGAAAATATTTGTCTCTGGCGAAGAGAAGAGTCGGCTTTCAGGCTCTGCCATCTGAAAGCTCATTACAGGTAATGACGTGTCGCAATGCTACAGGGTGGCGCGAGGCTCCAAGGCCGAACACACACTTTCGGCGCAGGCGATGAATATTTGCTTCCCCGGACATCTGCGTCATTCCACGGCATTATCGGCGAAGCCGGACGGTAAAACCCTAAATCAACTACATCTTCCATTTCCCTAATAGAGGCAGCGCCATCGCCTTCTAGATCTTCCCGGTGGCTGCTTCTGCCTCCCTTAAATTCTGTAGGCATGTCTTGTTTCCCTGTCTCGCCGCCATTAGTTTAATCGAGTTTACCAAACCTTTCTAGAACTCTGAAAAATTGGGTCCAAGTTTCAGAGGAACACGTGTTTGGTGCTGTCGTTGTGGGTAAGGTAACTGAATTCAAGGCAAAAGACCGTCGAATTGCCGCATGAATGCGAACTGACGGTGGAGGCAGCGTGAACCCGGCGAACAAACTCGTCACAGCCCACGCGCGTCGCTGTCAGTTCTTGACCTTTCCCAGTCTCAAATCTCATTGCATTGAGTCCTCGAGCTTTACGTAAATTAGTTTGCAGGGCAAGAAGCCCACGCAGATATCCAGTTTCACCGCCGTAAAAAAATCTCTAATGGCTTTGAAACTTCGCGAAAATTGGTATCTAACGCTCTTTTCCCCTCGCCGCTGAAATTCCTGTTAATATCATTCACTTAAAAGAATTCCGCAATGCGTCGCCACGTTTTAACATTTCAAATTAAACTACAAAACGTCAGCAAACATTTTTATTCCTTCCGTCTGCGTCACTCGGAAAAAAAATACGAAAGAGAATCACAGGCCGTCCAACGTTACGAAACTAAAATTTCTGCGCTTGAATGTAAATTTTAACTAGCGATTTCACGTATCAAAATTAAAACAAAACAGTATGCTACTGAAACTGTCCTGATGATAGAAGCAGTATACTCCTCCGAAACGTTCACCGCCGTGAGAACTCAGATCTCACCAGGACAGTGTCGAAATTTTGGCTTTGGCATTAGCCGCGCTGAACCTTCGGGTTCTGCTACTCCAGCCTCACTTAAATCGTCGATATTAGTAATGTTTAAAGTTCCTGCAAAAGAGCCGCACACATCGACTAACCCGCCACACAACTGTGCCAGAGAAGTTGCCGGGCGTGAAAGGCAACATCAGCCTCCCACAGAAAGATTAGTCTTACGTGTTCAAGAAACTGGCTGCTTTCAAGGACGATTTTTGGCATTTCGACGTGGGCTTCATGCAAAACAGGAATTTTGTTGAAACGAAGCGCGTTCAAGCTCAGTCTATGGCAAACACCAAAGTACGGAAATTAGTCTGGTTTTAATCCGATATTAATTAAACTTAAAAACGACAAAGAGAGGAAGAAGGCGCACTTGTCCATTAAATGGTCCTCAATTGGTGATTTGATGATACGTGTCAAACATTGCTCAAATCAAAGCGCTTATTTTGAAAAAAAAAAAAAAAAAAACAACAACAACAACAACCTAGAATCGAAATAAACTGTTTTCATACCATAGTAATGAACTCGGTGGAATACAATCCTCACTGAAAAGCTCTCAGTCGCTCAGCTAGTCAAAACCTTCTTCGCCTTTTACGTAACCCGAAGGTTCATCACCGTGTCCACAAAAACCCGCCAATGGCCCCTAACCTGAGCCAGAAGAATCCAACCCGTATCTTCCACTGTCCAGTTTCATATCATCCTCTTTCATCTAGGTCAGGGTGTTCCGAATGGTCTCCTTCCTTTAGGATTTCCAAAGAAATGTAAGATAATTTGAGATGAGCGCTTAAATAAGCATGGCAGTAGAAGTCCGTCCCGAAAAGCGACCATTACATGGACTAGCGACAGACGAAATAAGATTTAAACAAAACGACGATTTATAACCCGGGGTTGCAAGAAGGCCTGACAAATCACAAAAAATGGTACAGTACAGCACATGGACAATGAAGCTATATAGCTGTTTGAAAATGGCGTCTTCTGACTTGAAGTGCAGTGTAGTCTGATAGAAGTTTACAAAAGTTTCAGGGGTACTTGCTGCCTCCATCATCAGAGCAATCGCTACAACCCAGAAGACACCCATTTTACATTCGTCAAAATGAGAATTTCATATCCTACTTACGTAGTTATTTGTTTGTTTGTTTGTTTGTTCGGGGTTAAACTTCGTCTTTCGTCCTATAAGGACACAGACTGAGGATGTTTCAGAACGGAGTTCTAAGTAGAATATTTTGACCTAAGAGGGACGACGTGACAGGACACTGGAAACATTTGAATAACGAGATACGTCATAAATTGTAATCATGAAATATTATTAGGATGGTGAAGCCAATGAGGATGAGATGGGACGGATATGTATGAGGAAGATGAGATTTTTGCACAAAGGAAAGAGACGAGTTGATAAATTTACGAGTAGACTGGAGGATAACATACGCGGGCTCTTGTGAACAGTCACAAAATCTTCGGGTTTCAGGCAAGAAATCTGAACCAAATAAGTCAATACAAGAACAACTAGTGTACAGAGTTGGCTAATAATAAAAACATTTGCACGAAAATAAGCTGCAGTCGGGCCCCGTGTTTTTGTGTGACGATAAGCCTTTGGGCAGTTTATGCGAAAGGCAAAGAACTCTGACGTTAAACCAAACGCGCCATGAACAAGGAAGGCGAAACAGATCTGTCAAAGAATTGCTTACGACGAGACGGCGTAACGAGTCATTCAAAATGAATACGACTCCAAATGTAAATGTCAATACATAAATAAGAGTTTCAAAAGAACAATCCGCTTCAACCAACTGCGAGGCAGGGGTGGGTGTGACGTAACACACGGCGGCAGAGCGCATGCCCCACCAGACATGGTCAATGTTTCCAAGGGCGGCTGGGCTCATTTTAACCTCACGTTTTGGTACGGAGGGGGGAGTCACACCCTATCCTCACTCATTACCCCCCTCTCCCGAAACTGTTTTCAACCCCTTGGCTGCTAGACGCCACGACCCCTAGCAGGAAGCAACCTGCAATGCGGCCGCCATCACGCCTCGCAACCAAGCCACAGAGGCCGGTCGCTCTGCTGATACAACACGTGTCCAGTAGATGGCAGATTCGGATATCCTGGTTAACGTGTAATAGTCGCATTTATGCTCGTGGTTCAGTTAATCAACTCTTTGACTCAAAAACAAAAGTTGATACAGAAATATTCAAAGTGAACAGACACAAATAAAACAAGATCAAACTCCAAGCCACGCGAAATGGAATGAAAAGTATGTGGAGAGACATTAATATCGCAAGAGGGATTTGAACCAGCGGTCGGGAAGACCGTGATCATTAAGAATTTCGCTACTAAAATTGCGTTAAGATGGAAACTAAGAAATGGTTTTGTTTACTAAGAACGACGTTGAACTAACAGAATCTAATACATGTAACTAATACACTGATATTCCGTGGCGGTGCGTCTGGCTTACATCAACACTTGCCCGACTTAGACACAAAACATCGTATTTAAGAAGCAAATTATTCTTCTGTTGGGAGGCACTACTTCTACGTGCCTAAAGAAGAAACTAAGAAACTAATTACGTGAATTACGTGAGGGGACGAGCGACTACGTTTTGATATAACAGAGAATTCAGTTCCAGTTACATGCCTCATGAAGACAAACGGACAATTACGCACAGAATGGAAATAAATTTATGTTTACACACAATGAAAGTTTCTCCTAACTTTGACAC